ACAGGAGACGTAATGATGGTAATAAATTTGAAAAGAATGGTGCTACAATAGATAATACATGGGTGATTGGTTACAATCAGTATTTGACACTCAGGTTTCATGCACACATCAATGAAGAATGGTGTAATCAAGCAGGTGCTATAAAATACTTATTCAAATACTTGAATAAAGGATCCGACCGAGTTTCATTCAAATATACAATGAACGGAGAAGTAATATGATAAGCGCCCAAAGGATGAAGTAAAAGCTTAGTATGAAGGTAGATATCTTTCAGGTTGTGAAGCTGCATGGCGTATCATTAACTTTCCAATACATAATAGAACACATCATGTTGAAAGGCTAAGTTTCCATTTGCCTGGTCAACAAAGTGTCGTATACGATGAGGATCAGACTGTGGAAACAGTAATAAGCAGGGCTTCCAACAGAGAATCGATGTTCACTGGTTGGATGCAATGTAATGTCATTTACCCTAAAGCTATGAATCTTACTTACATTAATTTTCCTTCCAAATTTGTGTGGAAAAGAAAAGATAGAATTTGGAAGCCAAGACAAAGAGGTTCAAGCATTGGAAGAATTCATGGGGTACCTATAGCATCTGGTGAGCCTTATTACCTCAGGATGCTGCTTAATATTGTTAAATGCCCGACGTGTTATGAAGATATAATGACAATAGATGGTGTACAACATATGACATTCAAAGATGCTTGCTTTGCAAGGGGTTTACTAGAAGATGACAAAGAATATATTGATTGCATTCTTGAAGCATCTACTTGGGGTACAACAACCTACTGCAGACATCTATTTGCTAAACTATTCGATGGTGATATTTTGTCAAAGCCTGAGAATGTGTTGGATCAAACTTGGGAATGCTACACAGAAGATATCCCCATTGAAATTGAAACGGTTGTTCAGAAATGAAGATGTGTCATGAAAATATTTTTCAATTATATTACACATTTAAATTAGTACACAATATATACATAGATACTAAAATCATATATACAGATTACATTGTGTTTGAAGGCGAGCTACAATTGCACGCACTGAAGGAGATTGAGTTAATCTTACGAACTCATGGTAGGACCTTGAAGGATTTCCCAAGTATACCATATCATGGCGATGTATTCATTGAGGATGGGACAAATACCATGATCCACGATGAGTTAGACTACAACAGGTTCTCATTGATGGAAGAACATGATGTGCTGTATGGTAATCTAACTGACGAACAAAGGGCAATTTACAAAGAAATTTTAGATGTAGTTGAAAAAGAGAGTGGAGGATTATTCTTCGTGTATGGTTACGGTGGAACTGGAAAGACTTATGTCTGGCGCACACTTTTAGCCGCAATTTGAAAAGAAGGAGAAATAGTACTAAATGTAGCTTCCAGTGGAATTGCTTCATTATTGTTAGTTGGTGGAAGAACGGCTCACTCAAGGTTTCATATACCAATTAACATGACCGATGAATCGATATGTAGGATAAAACCAGGAAGTGATTTGTCTGCTTTGGTTAAGAGGGCAAAACTTATTATATGGGATGCGGCACACATGGTGCATTAACATTGTTTTCAAGCTTTAGATTGTACATTAAAGAACGTTCTAAGGTGAACAAATCTAGATGCTGCAGAACAACCTTTTGGAGGTAAAGTTGTTGTTCTTGGGGGGGGATTTCCGGCAGATATTGCCAGTAATTCCAAAAGGTACTAGAGCAGACATTGTAAGTTCTGCAATTAATTCTTCTTACCTATGGAGGCATTGTAAGGTACTTAAATTGACCGTGAACATGAGATTAAGGGTAGGAAATACAATGAATAATCCTGATGAAATACGTGAGTTTTCTGAATGGTTGTTAAAAATTGGAGAAGGAAAGATCAATGAGCCAAATGATGGTGAAGCCGAAATTGAATTCCCAGATGAGGTTATCATACAGGAACCAGGAGATCCTATTGAGGCAATTGTAAAGGCTATATATCCAGACTTATTAGCTAATCTGGAAAACCAAGATTGGTTTCAGGAAAGATCCATTTTAGGACCAACGCATGAAGTCATTGACAAAGTAAATAACTACATGACAGGTTTATTACCAGGAGAAGAACGTGAATACCTCAGTTTAGACAGCATGTGTAATTCTGAACATGGAGGTGAATCAGATCAGGGTATCTACACTCCTGAATTTCTCAACAATGTGAAAGCTTATGGACTTCCCAATCACAAATTGGTATTGAAACAGAATGTTCCAGTCATATTACTACATAACCTTGATCCAAGATTAGGACTATGCAACGGTACTAGACTACAGATTATATGTATGGGACGTTATGTCATAGAAGGGAAAATCATATCAGGCAGTAATATTGGTCAGGTTGTACCTATTCCTCGGATGAAAATAATTCCAACTGATAGCAACATTCCTTTCAAGATGAAGAGGAGGCAGTTTCCTATAGCTATTTGTTTCGCAATGACCATTAACAAAAGTCAAGGTCAGTCCCTATCTACAGTCGGACTCTACCTACTGCGGCCAATTTTTAGCCACGGACAGTTATATGTGGCATTGTCACGGGTGACATCTAAAAGAGGGTTGAAAGTTCTCATTTGTGACCGTCATGGCACAAGATCCAACCGAACCATGAATGTCGTTTACAAGGAAGCTCTACGAAATGTTAGTTGAGTTAATTTCTTTATTTTCATTTCTGATTTAATCATGGTACATACTATTCCTTTTCATTATCAACTTTTACTACGGTCATAGTTTTTTCAGACATTTCATTTTCACTTTTTATTTTTACATTCCAAAACAAAACATAAACAGAAATCACAAAAAACAAATCAAACGTAATTGCTTATTCCATCAGATCATGCTCATACTATCAATTGCATCTAGCATACTATCTAAGATTGAATGAATGTGAAATTATCTTTTCCGATTAACAGTATCCACCTGACCATTATCATCCTGATTGTATATCCTGATAATATATCAACAAGAATAAATAATCAGAAATAAATTTTCATACATAATACATTACTTAAAAACCACACTCAAATCTTCAATTACCTCAGCGGAATGAAGTTTGGATGACGAAAATGTTGTTGGATATACAGACAGCTTTAATGACCATGAATCTTAACTAGGTCGTTTATTGAACATAATCTGTTTGAAAAATAAAATTTCAATATCAGCATCAAAAAATTAATCATTGAATTGATATTTGGAATAACACATTAGGCAGAACTAATGAAAATCAAAGGAAATATCAATAGGCATATTACCTCATCAACAAATGATTGAATCTTAATACACCCATTTCCAGCTTAGACACTTCAATGGAACACTCCTTCATTTCACGAACCCATTTATAATCAATGATAATAGCTACACAGTAAACCACATAATAGCAACCCATAATGGAGATCGAACTTATGTCTGAACACCCTCTACACCTTCAATTGATTGATATGAATCTGTGAAATTCAATGGTTCAGATCCCATTTAAACCGAATGAATAAGAATATAGTGCTCAATGAATCTTAGATTGATTACAAAACTTCAACCAAATGAGATTCTCATCGATACTTTGAAAAATTTGACACCGAATATGAGATCGAAAGACCAAAAAGCCGGTAGACTTTCTAAAAAAAACTGCATTATGGTGAAGATTCCAATTCTTTCCATATGAACAAAGACCAAACTGAAGAAAATGATTCCCGTTTGTTTAGGACAGAATGATTCCCGTAAAAAAAGGGCCAGCTACAAGTTTAATCAATCTACTTCTGACTGTCTTTTTCAACTGAATCTAAGATATGAATATAGTGCTCGAAAATCTTGGATTGCTTACAAAATGCAAACCAAATGAGATTCAAAATTGAAACTTGGAAAAATTTGACACCGAATCTGAGATGGAAAAATTTGCCATTAAGGCTTTGATCTGATCCTGAACTTAACTTTTTTTGGGGGGGAGGGGGAGGGTCATTCAGTTCTGATGAGTGATGAAGCTGCTTTTTGTTTTATGTGGTCCTGAGTACGTGCATCGATGCATACCCAGGCTTCTTACAAAAAATAAAAATAAAATAAAGGCCCACTCATGACGAGATTGACCTGAATTAGGGCTGCTCAAAGTAGTATTTGCTTATTTGTTGCACACACACGTTTGAGTTAGAAGAAGAATATAGGTCAAACTCTTTTTTTTACAAACACTCCTCTTCTACAATTCCTCCTTTTCAGCAATATACTCCTACTAATTTATCCAACCTCATATTCCTAATTGGATAAAAGTTCCACCTCCAACCAAAAAATATTCCCTTTTACCTTCTATATAAATCTCAAACCAGAAAAAGTAATAAAACTATCTTCATCATTCATCTTGCTGTGCTCCTATTATTGAAGGTATTTTAAGATAATATAATGATTGTCTTATATTGCCCATCCCTTTCGCATGTGTAAAAATAAATTTATTTTATTCTTATAAATTTTGCTCCTACTAATTCTGATTCTATATTTAATTCCATAGCTTTTGCGTGTGCTGTCGCTCCCGCTGCCGTTCTATTCCCATAGCTTTTTCCAGTGCTGCTATGACTACTGTAAGTGTTCAAGTTTTTGGGCATGTTATAAAAGTAAAAAAATATAGGGTTTTTGCCTTCATTATTTTTTCTATTATTGTTTGTGGGTGCTTTGAAAACCTTGCGATGATGTTAATATTGGAATATGAATGTTGAAATTATTAAAGAGAATTTTTCAGAGATTTTTGCTTCTGAAATAGGAAAATTTTGTTAAATTTTGAATTTGCATTGATTGATAAAGTGATTTTGTAATTGACGGAATTGGTTTTTATCCTCAACAAATATCCCAAAAGATTGTCAAAGCAATTCTCCTAAATCTCATATCCCTCCATCCATTCATCCAATGAACAACCACCCCGATTTTTCTCCTCCTTTCAGACTTTTATTGTCCAAATTGACCCTAAAAGTTCAATCTTTTTCCAACATGCAAATCAATTTGAATCAGGATTGACCATCCCCTTTCTTCCCAACCCCTCCGTCACTCCCAGTATTATTAATTTTCCCTTCTCCTTCTACCGACAACAACTTCCCACTCTCCTCATCAACCTCCTGAGCTTTCTTCTGAGCTTCCTTAACCTTCAAAGCCTGCAATTTGGAATGGTTGTAATACCCAACTCCCAAAAACGCCAATCCATACCCCAACAAGTTAACAATAGTCACAGTATCCTTAATCACCAACCAAGAAAACGCAATCAAGAGCCAATCTTTGACCACCCTGGTAACATTCATGGCCAAAGCTGAGATCTTTCCAACAAGCAAAAACACAGCCAAGTTCAAAGCAAAAGCACAGACGGAATTAGTCCCAAACACCAAGAAATCAAAATTTCAGCCGCTTAGAGATGTAGGTTCAGATCAATTAGCCAAGTTCCAATTAAAATGAAAAGAGTACCGATCTTCACTCTTTATAAAATTAAGGAAGAACTAATTTCAAATTTCTCAAAAACCAAAGAAAAGAAAACACGAAATTTGTAAATTTGAACATGATTGCAATCACAAATGTTCAAAAAGAGAAGAGGTGGGGGACTTACAGAATCCCACTAAGTTCGTTTCCGGCGTACCAGAACGCGAGTAGTGTGGAAATATGAAGCCTGAATCTGAAAAGGGTTGTTCGCTGTAGAGTAGATTATTGCAGCTGTTCTGATTTTGTGTATATGTAGCTTTTGAAGCATTGGTTATTCAAGTGTTACCCCCAAAAACTCAAGGAAAAAACAACACCACTTCAAGAGATATTGTTGTAATCAATCAAGAGTAAGTACCAACAAAAAAATATCCATATAGTTGCTTTTATATTAATTACATATATTTATATTTTACATAAACACAATGTTTATTTTTCAGAAAGTGCCCCATGATAATAACACTGTGGAATGATTTCCATCTTGATGAGGGTCAAACAATTGCACAGATGGTTAACACAACTCCTACTCTCCTATGCTTCAAACTACGAGCCTCAACATTCAACGGTAACTAAAAACATCATTTTTATTAATATTATACTCAATTTGTATGTTAACATCAAAGTATGGTCATCTTTGCAGTGCTTTCCTTGACTACGAGGCCGTCATCGGCATTGATAATAAATGCTCCAACAAAAACCCGCGATGCCCTTCGTGACTGGTATAAACCACAAAATTAAATTACATTTTTTAGCATTAATATAACTTACTATAACTTACTGTAACTTACTGTAACAGGTACCAAACGAACAAAGAAGAGATAATTGGAATGATAGAAGGTCAAGCATACAAGAATACAGATATTTTACTCCCTCGACCTTTGGAGCAAACAATTTCAACAATCAACCAAGCATTGAGACTTTTCAACAAAAAGGTATATCTAATGTTGCTTCAATCATTTATCATACATTCAATTATAGACCTGCTAACATTTATACCTTTCAATCTCAGTTCTATACAGCATGGGTAAAAGTCAAAACAACCTTAGCTCCTTCTCAATCCGCTTTCTGGTTTGCCACATGCAATAACTGCCAAAAGTCAATCAATGGCGATGTTGGTCCAAATATTAAATGTATATCGTGCAACCAAAATGTTAAGCTGGAGGCCAGGTAAATATTTACTCATACCCACTAAAAATCTCTTATAAACCTACCAAATGTATTTACATGAATGCTAAAAATAACTTAATACACCACTAACTATTCAAAATTTACTCCTATACAGAACTAGAATTCTGCTAGAATTGACAGACTCAACAGGCACAATCACGGCATCTGTCCTTGCAACAGAAGCTGAAAAACTCATCGGCGTTAATGCTGAGGCTTTGAGAACTACAGAAGATCAGGTACACATCACTCAATGATATTGCTCAAAACTATGCTAAATAATAAACTAACATTTAACCAATTCAATAATCTTTTGTTTCCAATGCAGGATGTTGACCTCAGTACAACTATTCAAAATGCTCTGAAGCAACACACCATTGTTGCATTCCTCAGAAAATACGATAGTACATTCCAGGGACGTGCCTCAGAAAAATATAGTATTGTAAAATCATACTTAATCCAAGATCTTCTCATGAATGAAACACCCCAAAGGAAAGCAGTACCATTTGAAGAGATAACCTCAGAAGGACATACGGAAATGACAATGTAAACACCTACAGCAAAACGGAGTATCGACTCAGCAAGCCCAATGGAGGATATCAATCCTAGCCCCCAGAAGAAGCTTGAAAAGCTCGACTAAAATCCACATCTTACTTGCATTTTTACAAATTTAAATAAATCACTCCGAGAATATTTAATGTAACGATACTCTATTTCTCGGATGTTTATATCCCTATATTTCATTCATTCTATAGATTTATGGAAATATTTTGAACTTATTATGGAGGAAATTTTTTTTAATTACATTCAACAAATTGTTATCAATTTTTATTGACAAAAAAATCACATATATACTGGGCCAGGGCCGCGCATTGCGCGGCCAGGCATCACTAGTATATATATATATATATATATATATATATATATATATATGAACCGTTTATTGTATAGGCCTCTTCCTCGAGTCTATAATAGTTAGGTTAGGCTCCACTAATGAAATGGTAATCAAACTTTTAAGTTTGATCGTTTTGAAGCTTAATCATTTGGAAAAAAAAAATATATATATATATAGAGAGAGAGAGAGAGAGAACACACATACTTGTTTTGATCTATTGGAAAGTTATATATATATATATAGAGAGAGAGAGAGAGAACACACATACATGTTTTGATCTATTGGAAAGTGGTTCTATTCTCTCTATTTCAAAATAATTGTCCAATATAGGTTTTTTATTTTTAGTTTCTGAATTAAAAACGAAAATTTAAACTAGACAATAATTTTGAGGGGGAGGAAATACATGTTATAAAACAAATGTTGTCTTGATTGTAATCATTTAATAATTTAATCAAATCAAATTAGGTGAATAAAATAAAATGAAACCGATCAAAGAAACCCCATGGCCATGTGGTATGCAGAAAAATAAACAAAGAAAACAATTTAAAAACTGAAAGGAGTAGAAGGTACAAATTAATCCTCAAGCTGATGGAAGGAATATTTTTCGCCAAAGACTACTGATTTTCTTCTTCTTTTTCACTTTGTTTTGCGTGGAGAGCAAGATGTGTTGAAGAGGCATGAGTGGAACAAAGCTTTCAACATAATTATCGGCCGCAAAGTAGACTCCCCATTGGGTCATCCCATCTTTCACTTCTTCAACATTTCTAGTCTCCGGATTGTAAAGAACCAGACGTTCGCATAATACCCTTACGCCGTAACCGATGCTGGCATAGCGATTCGCGGCCTGATTCAGATCCAAGGCCAAAAACCTCCCACTCGGAGTAACACAATCCCACCAATCCCGAAACTGGAAACCCAAATCCCTTGTTGATATCACAAATTTGCGCATCCATGATCCATCATCATTGTTATTATTTGTCTCCGTTGTTATTACTTCTGGCATCACCCAAAGCTCATAGTTACCATCTCCGGTATTACCATACAAAGCGAGACGCCCTTTGTATAATGCAAGTCGTCTGTGCTTTGGTACTATCATTACAAAGTCTGGAATTAACAACATCGGATGATGATGATTGTTTTGTTCTTTACCATCATCATTATCTCCTTTGGTTGCATGAATGTAATCCACCGTATTTTGTTTTATTGGATTAAGCCAATATACATATCCATTCAGGACAACACATTTTGGATTACATTGGTCGGGTGAAAACTTGAGAGAAATGGGTTCGAAACGAATTGTGGTCCAAGAATGAGTCTTTAGTGTGTAAACATCCACCGTGTGGATAGTTCGGCCTTCGGGAAGCACACCACAATACTGTATTTTAGCCACTATATAATCTTGGCTAAAAGAATCAAACCCGAAACCAATGATATTGCAATAATAACCAACGTTGATTCTCGACGGGAGTTGGATGCACTGACGTAGCGCAGGGTTCCATAAGTAGATTTGGACGTCTTTTTTGTTGTACGGGAAAGTAGATTCGTTTCTCTTGAAGAAACAAAGTACTCCATCACAACATGCAACCATAACTAATTTTTCGGGTAAGTGGAAACAAACATTGAGGGAGCCGTAACGCCGGGTACGAAACATGGTAACTGGATCGGCATCTGCTAGATACCTCGGTAAATCTTGAGCACGGGGGGCGTCGCGAAACGAGAAGAATCTCTGGTAGAACCCCATCCAGAATGCGCCGCCACGGCCATGGGGATGGTGGTGTTGGAGATGAGATCTCGCAAAATTGTGTTGGTTTGAGAAAATGAAAACGTACCACAATTTGCTTAAACATGATAATCGAATGAGGGACTTTGAAGGTAGACGAATTATGATTTGCAAAGTAATATCGTCTGAGAAGAATGGAGTCAAACTTGATGATGATAATAGTGATGCATAATATTCCTCCTCCTTAATCATGGTCGTTTTTTTTGTTTCTTTTTGTCAAGATCAGAATGTGGTGACCAGATTTGTGTATATTTAGACCTTTAGGAGTTTGGAGGTTAAGGCAATACAAACACTTATTAATTAGTTGTTACAAGAGTTCTACTTCTAGTTGATAACCATATCAATGATAAAACCATGTGTTTGGGTTCAATATTCTTATCTACATCTTGACGGTGGCAAAGCCGTTGATATGTAGATACTACAAAGAGAGACCATCTAATATCTGTAGTCAAAAGCGGATGTAAAACCTGATAACAAGGAGTTTACGGTTGCTAATCCTTCAAAATGCCGGGATCTGCGGGTTTATACATATAGGAATCTTACGAGTTTATAGTGTAGAGTTATGCACCAATTGAACTTTCCACATCTAAGAAAAGAAATTGTAAGGTCCCTGGAATGAATTTTAAGTTGATGATTCCCAATCAGCCTGGCAATTAATTATGTCCAGCTCCTACCATCTCACTGTAAGGAGTCGTCTAAAAATACGTAATTTTGATTAAAACATTATTTATTTTGTTTTTAATTTAATTTAACATGTAATTGTTAATTACTATTTATTCTAGCCCTTTTTCACAATATTAATTTGTTTCAGGTGGTGTCCTCACCTATCGATGCCAACAAGTGGTGGCGCCGCTGTGACTTCTCCGATCAAGTCCCCCGAAAAATCTAAATTGAAGCCAAATTTTGGCCCGACCGATGACCAGATGCCGATGATGATGTCATCACATTGATGTTAGAAAAACCTTTGATGATGTCTTGACATTTTATAAAGGAAGGTGATAAATTGAGAACTGTTTTTTTTTTAATATTGGGAGCTAAATTTTATCAACTACCCATGTTACCCTCACTCAGAATTTTAAGGGAATTGCCATATTTACTTCTACTTAATTTTCTTTTCCCTCCATTTATTGGCACCACGTAAACTTTGTTTTTTAAAAAATTTAATGTATCTAAGAAATTGGTATCACAAAGCTTCATGTCAACTTACTTAGTTCACAAATTAAAACTTCCGACAAAATAATATTTGTGTAAACTACTTCATCAAATAAAATTTTCAACAAACCATTACAATTAATCAATGAAACTGAACCCAAATTATTCATTAGACTCATTAGCTAGTTTGTCCTTTTTCTCTTCCTTTTTGCTAGCTAGCAGCAACGTTGAGACTTGAGAACAACATCAGAAACAATGGCAACGGGAGGGATAGCAATTAGCAACATGAAGCTTACTAATTACTAGAATCTTTGGCTTAATCCTTTGTAACTAACTAGAAAAACCATTGCTCTTGAAACTGTCACAGTTAATTTTTTTTTCCAATCTTCGATAAACTTCTTTTCACTTTTCACATCACTATATTTTACAATATCATTAATCATAAGATTTCATATCGTTGGGCATGCGAGAATGGAAAACCAAAAAAATAAATACAAGATCCTTGCGCAAAAAAAATGTATTCCGTTAACCTCTAAAATTAATCATATTAGACACATAAAAATTCAACGTGATCAAACAGCCCCAAAGTTTACAAAACTTCAATTACATCTAAAATTTCAACGTGGTCAAACAAGTCCAAAGTTAAACTATCAATAAACATGCACAGTCACAAAAGTTCAATACATCAACTCATCTGTTTTTTAGATGCCCATTCTTTTTAACAAAATCAATACATGGATCTAAGCCCACAATATATCATTAATAAACCTATTTAGTGAGATAATTGTCACAAAATTGACCTCATCACGATGATGACTATAGGGATTGACGTGTGTTGCCGCTACTGAATCAATAAACATAAATTGAACATTTTGAAAGAGAGGGTTTTAAAAAGAGTATCACCAAGTAATGATTATGCAAAAAGAAGCCAAAGTAGCAAAAATTAATGGCCAAAAAAGGAGGAAAAAATTAATTAGATTATGATCTGCAAAAATCATAAGTGAGGGCATAAAAGGTAGTTAATAAAATTTTGCTCTTTATATAACGAAATTGCTCTCAATTTATCAATTCCCTTGTATTAATTATTCTAATAATTTCAAAAAAATTCAGTTAGTTCATATTAAAAAGCAGTGATAGAACCAGAAAAAAAATATTAAGATTTATAAAGACTGATATGAATATATTAATTAGGGATAATTTTTTTTTTAAAACAATAAAATTTCCAAGGAAAAATATCGACAAAGTAGGGATATCATAATATTAACTACTTGAACTAAAAAGGTGAATACGCATAAGGTAATTATATCTTTTCACTATGAACTAGGTTTCGACCTGTGCGTTGCACGGAACATGTCTAAAATGTAATTCGAAGTCGAGAATTAACAATAAACCATATTTTCACGTACTTGATTAATTGTTTGCTTTGAATGAACACATGGGTGAAGAAGAAATGATTTACTATTAATTTCCATTGTTTTCAACTTTTTAAAAATGGGCCAAGCACTCTTTTCGTAGAAATATTTTAAAAGGGTGTGAAAGATGTCAGGGTTGGCCCTTTATGGTAATAAAAACTGAAAAAGGGTCACTGGAAAGTAGAAAGAACCGGTGGCCGGAGTTGGATTTCAGAGGAAAAAAGATAGAATGGGGAACCAGTTAAGAAGGAAGTTATAGAAGATATAGAAGATTCCAGAAATCAAGAAAGGGAATTTTATTGAATTTTATCACTAATCAACATTATACAATCATTGGGTATTTATTACCCCAAATCTACAGTAAATGGAAACTCAGCCGAAAATAGAAAACAATTATTGCCAGTTATTAATTCTTTATTCTGTCTGAGTCAACCGTCAAACTTAATTTTGAAGTCACCCCCATACTTTCAGAATTGACAAATAGACCCAAGATAATGACAATTCATCTCCCATAAAATCAACCTTCTCATCAAGGTTAAAAATTTGGAAACTGGCTCCTTACAAAGTTGTAATCCTCCCAAGATGCATCACTATCATCCAAATTCTTCCACTTCACCAAACATTGGTTAACTTGTACTCCATTTCTGAAAATGAAATGCCTTCGCAAAATGGTTTTAGGCTGCAAAGAGTGATCTTCCAAAACATGATCTTTAGGTGGTGGAGTGCAAGATGCTGGTATACTTCCATAATATTTCTTCAAAAGTGATATATAGAAGACTGGGTGTATCTTGACAAAAGAAGGGAGTTGTATCTTATAGGCCACCTCACTAATCTTTTCCATTACCAAAAATGGACCATAGTTCTTAGACATCAGCTTCAAATAAGACGTCACAGCAACTGTTGACTGCCTGTATAGTTGCAGCTTCAAAAGTACCCAATCCCCAACCTTAAATTCTCTGTCAGTACGGTGCAAGTGAGCAATCCATTTCATCCTTTCTTGAGCTTTTTTCATGTTTTCTTGCAACAATTTTAACACAGTAGCTCTCTTTTGTAATAACTGATCAGCTGCAGGAATAATGCCGTCAGTAAACTCCCCTAATGGAAACAAGTTAGGCTTTTCCCCATAAAGAGCTTCATATGGAGTCATCTTGATACTGGTGTGAAAGGTTGAGTTGTACCACCATTCTGCTAAGGAAAGCCACTTACTCCAAGAAATTGGTTGATCACAGCAGAAACAACGCAAAGAGTTCTCAAGGCATTGATTTACTCTTTCTGTTTGACCATCAGTTTGAGGATGGTATGCAATACTCATTTTCAGTTTAACACCCAACATCTTAAACAGCTCCTTCCAAAACTGGCTTGTAAAGATCTTGTCTCTATCAGTAATGATATCAACAGGTAGCCCATGCAATTTGAAAACTTTATTCAGAAATACTTCAGCAACCGTAATAGCAGTAATAGGAGGATTCAAAGCAATGAAGTGGTTTTATTTGGTAAGCCTATCCACCATAACCAAAATGGTATCAAACCCTTCTGAGATAGGCAGCTTAACAATAAAATCCATAGAAATACTCTTCCAAGCATGTTGTGGAACCGGATTTGGACTTAACAAACCCGGGTAAGGAACATTCTCTCCTTTATTCCTCTGACAAACATCACATTTGGAAACGAATTCTTGTACTTCCTGCTTCATATTTGGCCAACAGAACACAGTTTTCAGTCTTTATAGAGTGGAATTCTGACCAGAGTGTCCACCAAGAGGAGAAGAATGGAAAGTAGACAAGAGGTTTTGCTTCAACTCAGAACTAGTACCAATACAAACTCTCCATTTCCTTCTGAGCAATCCTTGGACAAACTGATACTCATAATTAGGATTAGGAATGATAGTAATTTCAGCAATGAATTCTTTAATACTGTCATCCCCCTGGTAACTTTCAATTACCTCTTTCACCCAAACAGGTTGAACTGTAGTGATTGCACAACAAGATCCTTGATCATTTCATCCTCCATGTTCCTTTCTAGATAAGGCATCAGCAACACTGTTATCTTTCCCCCTTTTATACTGTATTTCATAATCATATCCAAGGAGCTTAGTTAACCATTTATGCTTGTTGGTGTTGATCACTTTTTGCTCCAACAGAAACTTCAGGGACTGGTGATCAGTACGGATGATGAAATGGTTCCCTGACAGATAATGCCTCCACTTGGTTACTGCAAGAACTAAAGCCATCAATTCTTTATCATAAACTGATAAACACTTGTTCTTCTGACTGAATGCCTTACTGATAAAGGCTATAAGTTGTCCAGACTGCGTTAATACTGCTCCCATTCCCACATCATTTGCATCAGTTTCAACCATAAAAGGTTGACTAAAATCTGGTATGCTTAATACAAGAGCACAAATCATGGTTACCTTCAACTTCTGAAATGCCAATTGAGCTTCATCAAACCTTTTGAAAGAATTCTTCTTCAACAAGTTGGTAAGTGGTTTACAGATAATACCATATCCCTTGATGAATCTTCTGTAGTAACCAGTTAACCCAGAAAACCTCTTAAGGCTTTACCAGAATTTGGTGATGGCCATTTAGAGATGCTTTCAACCTTCCGAGGATCCATCTTTACATCTTC